GGATGCAAAACTGATTTTGTGTGTATGTTTGCAGAAATATGGTTTTAAAAATATAATAAATAAATAAATACATTCCTTGTGCATAAATAGTAAATAAATTATTTACATATTTATGTCACAAGAACGCTATAACTAAAGGCAAATTTTATTTTGTACTAAGCGTTTGCACGTACCATTGTAGACAACATAAGAGTAGGAAAAGTCGGTCAGTTTAGTCCACTCGATACATCTTACAGCACCCACTGTAAACCCTGTACCAGGGACAGTCTGGTCTGCACTGTTATATAAGACAAATAATTTGTATTTCATGGCTTCATTATGATTATAATTAGTGATTTAATAAGATGGTGAGATAAAGAGCCTTTTATATGATTGGTTAAGCAAGTAAAAATGTTTTAGAGGATGCTAAAATGATAAGGAGAGAGAGAGATAACTCATAGTAAGATGAAAGAATATGTTTTTGTTTCATGTTGGACATTTCAATACCAGTATACTCACTGAAAAAGAAGTAAATTTCCTGAAAAATTTTGACAAGTCCATGAATAAAAACTTGTAATATTCCACCCGGACGACACCGTAGTGGCCATGGCATCTAGAACAACATCACCACTCCCAAATTCGCTACTATACCAAGATCCGCTCCAATCAGTAGGAAATGTACAGTGACATTCTAATTTGAAATATAGATGTTTTAAAAATTGAACATATTTGTGTCTGTTGACGATTCTTAAATAATTTTTGTCTCCTTCTTACCTGTATATCTAATATTGTTCAAAATTATCTGTGTGACGAGGAGTAGCAATTTCATTGCCGTAGTGGTTAAATCTGGTGTATTTACAAATAATTAAATCCACTTTTAAAACAATACACATAAAAGTTAAATGGAACAGTAGGTATTGAAATTTCTTTTCTAGACAGTTGGTTAAAATCTTAAGCGATTTATGCCGCGTTACGCCATGGAAGACTTGAACTGTTGAAATATTGTGCAATAAGTAGATTTAAACGGCCAAGTATATAATAGTTTGTACTTTTTAAGTGTATATTCTCTGAATACATTTACAATATTTAGTGTATAGCGTTGTTCTAATAGTGTGAAAGTGAACGATTGAATTATCGGTTTATGTTGATTAATATTCTGCAAGTATTGAAAACCCACACGACAAAAGGTCATGCTATTTGCAATCTGTAACTAACTACAACTCAAGGACGATCTCCCGCACAGAATTAATTTTAACAACCATCTACAAAATTGCACTCGGTAAAACACAATGAAAATATTAACATTTTTGTAAATGATGATACATGCAGGTTATTGGTTTGAATTTGATGGAAATGAAGGGTTTAGCAGATTGCTCACAGGTATGAATACAAAGTTTCGAAAAAAAAAAAAATGCATGTAGGTCTGTATACGTAATTCCATGGTAACTGAATACTAGTAGTAAGCCATTGTAAGTCATGTTTAACAATAAAAAAAATTGTATGATGGGAATTCACTACACTTTGTGCAAAGGAATTAGAAAAGTATAACAAGTAGATTTTTTTAAAAAAGAATTTGTTGCCGTTCTTATTAGGAACAACCTTAACCAGTTAACTGATACATGTAACATGCCTTAACCAGTTAACTGATACATGTAACATGCCTTAACCAGTTAACTGATACATGTAACATGCCCTACTATTCTCTAGTTAATTGCTAGCGCTCTCGAGCGCTCTACGAGAACAACCTTAACCAGTTAACTGATACATGTAACATGCCCTACTATTCTCTAGTTAATTGCTAGCGCTCTCGAGCGCTCTACGAGAACAACCATAACCAGTTAACTGATACATGTAACATGCCCTACTATTCTCTAGTTAATTGCTAGCGCTCTCGAGCGCTCTACGAGAACAACCTTAACCAGTTAACTGATACATGTAACATGCCCTACTGTTCTCTAGTTAATTGCTAGCGCTCTCGAGCGCTCTACGAGAACAACCTTAACCAGTTAACTGATACATGTAACATGTCCTACTATTCTCTAGTTAATGGCTAGCGCTCTCGAGCGCTCTACGAGAACAACCTTAACCAGTTAACTGATACATGTAACATGTCCTACTATTCTCTAGTTAATTGCTAGCGCTCTCGAGCGCTCTACGAGAACGCTAGCAACTTTACTGGAATGCAGGTAGGACATTCTGGGAAAATATGTTATTGTCAGTTGCATATGATCAGCTGAAAATACACACCTATTACCGGTATTTCAGTTCCTTGTTTTGTGTACAAAAAAGGAAATGTAGACCCTATAATGCCAAAACTGCAGGTTCTCAGAAATCAGTTACATGTATTTTACTAAAGATAATAATTGTTAACTACAAAATAATACGACATTAGAATATTTTAATCTTGTAGGTGCCTTTTGCTTCCACCGATTTCTTAAATTACTGTACATGTATCTTCTAAAAGCATTGACATTAAAGCGAAACACAATGTTTAAAGCACTTTCATGATCCTTTATTGAATTAATTGATATACATATACATGTACGCACTGACCGAGTTTCAACATGTTGAATTGCACCCCCTCCCCCCTCCCCCTGCAAAACTGTCTACCTTTTAATGATTAAGTATAATGAAACAATCGTTCAGAAATCTGTTTCTGTGTATAATAATGGCTACAGCGCCATCTCATCTATCTTTTTTTAAAAGATGCACTTGTAATTCTTAGCTCTGTATTTGTAAAACAGCTTTTTTTTCAGACATTACATGAAAGTCGAAGCAAAAAGGAGGAAAAAAACGAAATTATAGTTTGCATGCAAAAAAGAACATTTTTGCAAATTTTGAATATATCGAAACACTTGATAATAGTTGCTTTAAACAAAATCATTTATTGCATTTTTTAAATCCAGTTTTTAAACTTATAAAATTGTTACAACGCACAAAAGATAAATCATTATCAAATTATCTCCCTTACGTTGAACAGTATTTCAACCAATGAAAGAAATAAAATTTTTCACATCCAGCATTTTCGGCCTATCACAAAGGAGAGAAGGTGCACGGTCCAAAGATTGTAAGACACTCCAACTCATTGTAAATACGTTATACTGTTTTCCAAGGAAGGCGTTAAGATAGGTATATACATAATTTCAACACTGTTGAACAATTTACCCAGAGTAGACACATAATTATTTTTATACATGTAATAATGGGCAAAATGATACCTGTGTTATTGTATCATTTGTGAGTAACATACCAGCTAATACTGTGAAAGTGGAATACATTGCGGTGTTTTTTAATTTCACTATGTTCGCGATCGATGAATTTTCCGCGGAAATTAAGCCATCGTGAATATTGTTGACATCAATGTAGCATTCAATTATCTATGCACTGTAAAGTCCCGTTTTTCTATTTTAACAGTAAAATGTATAATTCATTGAAAATCATTAGGATATACCCTAGGTTAATAACAACTGCGGGTTAAAATTAGTTACTGGATACGTTTATATTAAATAATTTACCATAACTTTTCTTTAATACAATGTAGTAATAAATTTTCAAATATATAGTAAAGAGAAATTCAGTGACCATGAAATTAAAACCATCGTGAAATGTACCAATAGAGGAAATCGTGAAATATTAAACACGTAAAATTAAAGACGTTTACAGTAATCAAGAAATAATATGCCCTGAGTTATAATATTGATGACTACTATGTAATGACATAAATATTATTTTATAAATAGTGCATATAGTTGAGGGTACCATTGAAAATTTTCAACCCAAGAGAAGCATTGTTGGTCAACCGAGGTACATCCGAAGTTGACAAAGGTTTTCAAGGGTGAAAAATTTTCTTATTATCCTCAACTACATGCGATATTTATTACATTATACTGAATATTTTATTAAAAACATATTACAGTGAACAGCGCCGCGCATAAATTCTGCGCAGTCGATATTTTTTGGGGAGCCATCGCCCGTCGTCAAGCAATGTTGACTGTTACTACGCTTTAGGGCGTGATTTAAGAGGTAAAGCGTTTTTTAACAAATGTTTCGCGACGAATCAGATTCAATTAATTAACATGAAAGTATATTATAGTAACTTGGCTTTTTTTTAATCAGAGTTGAGAATAGTAATGTTGCCCAAAATTATATTAAACACCAGTGGATGTCAGTATGCCCAGATTACAGCAGCATGTTCATTATTGCTATTTAACCAACTTTAGCGTTTAAAATTTTAATACAGCTATTTGCAAGACGAAGTTTTAAATCGTATATTCAGTGCCTAATTAGTTTTGTACTCTCAAGTTGAATCTTTCCTGCATAGTTCTCTCATATATAGGTTTTAAATCATTGCAAATGATATATCACTTATATAATGGGCGAGTTTATTTTTTGCAAAATTGAAGGGTTCAAAACAGATAATGTGTTTCCTTTTCTTTATTTTTTTTTATTACTAGTACCCTTAAATCGGTGGTTCTGATACTATTGGATGATAATCCTCAGGAAATGATTTATTATCTTGAAGCACAATAAAATTGATATTCTATACAATATAAACAGGATGAACGTGTCAACAGAAGGGTAATTTTACGAAACACGTAAAATTTCCAATATCGAGTAGGACCTGATGATAAGTTGATTTTTGGATACAATAACTACATTAAAAATGATAACACTTTATTTTCATATTGCACGGTCAACAGAAATTACAGTTAATCAACGGATGAGAAAAAAACGCTTACTAAACACCAAAACCTAAGCTTAAATATAAATCTCAATGTGAAATCAGTTAAATAGTAACGCGTAGAGTGCTGTTTTTATAAAGTAAACGTTGACTTCATCTTTGGTTATAAATAGTTTACAAAACAGGAATTCAAATATTAACTGTAGTTGAATTTGGGTTTTGATCACAGATTATTCTTGATTCACAAAACAAAACACGATGCTATCATATTACAGAAACATGTATGAGATTCTTAGCACATTTTCTCTGAAGTGCAGTATATTCCTAAAACAATTTATTGTCAGTCGTATTCTTCATAATTACCAATATTGTGAACCCTTCGAGTGCGTCTTGGAGTTAAATTCCGGACGGTGTCGAATAGGTCTTGTTTCGGTTTCTTTTCTGGCATGGGCGGTTTTTTCTTTCTTGTGCAGCAATGTATCACAAGACAGATCATTGAGGTAATGAAGGCGCTTCCCCCCGCCGCGGCAATCATCATGTACACCGTATTCATTGAGAACATATCCTCCGCAGGTTTGGGTGTCGTTTTGTCCTGTACTGGTGGTTTTGGAGTCGACTTTTTGGTGGTCAGTTTCTGAGCAGGAGTGGTGTTGGTTGTTGGTTTCATTGTAGTTTTGACAGCGGTTGTGGTGGTTGTGGTAGGAGTGGTGGTTGTGGTTGGTTTAGGGGTGGTGGTTGTGGTGGTGGTGCTGGTGGTCGTTGTAGGAGTGGTGGTGGTGGTGGTAGGAGTGGTGGTAGTGGTAGTTGTGGTGGTGGTTGTAGTGGTTGTCGGGATGTCGGTCACAGTCACAGTCAGACTCACATCGTTCTCTTTTCTTACGTTATTGGCCTTAAGCGTCCATTTTCCATCGTCAACAACATCCAGAGACTTTATTGTAAGGACACCGGTTTCAGACACGACGTAATTTGTTTCATTGTAGTTATAATATTTCAGTGCTGTTCCATCCGGTCTTGTAAAGATGATATCTGGAAAAGGATCCCCTCCAAATGTGCATGAAATCTCCAGCTGAGTGTGATATTTACCGGTAAACGAAGATGATGTACAGCTAACAGATGCAGGTACACATATTAACTGTGAAGATGGAGCATTCACAATTGAATAATACTGCAAAGACTTTGGTGAGGTACATACTACAGATTCTGGCATCGGACTTGGAAGTACTTTTACCCATTCTAAAGCACAACTGCAATGCCATTCATTACCGTCTAAACGCAGAGTCTTAATTTTAGGCAATGTTAACACACTTGAATTTGACAGTTCGGTGAACAAGTTCCCAGATATATCGATGTACGCTAGGTTATTACTGGTCGTGGTAAAACTCCAATCTAGTCGTTTGATATTGTTTCCGTGAAGATCTAAAGTCTTCAACATACCTAAAGGATTAAGCAGGCGTTTATCCAGCTTTGTCAAACCCATTTCTGCGAGGTATAGTTCTGTCAGATGGGTCAAATCCTTGAAAGCCGAGAGAGCTATTTCAGTTCCGTTATTTCCAGACAAATGCAAAGTTTTAAGCAATCTCAATCCTTTGAATGTGTTTTCCGAAATTTCACCAAGTTTATTGGAGGAGAGGTCCAGTGTAATCAATGATGACGGTAAAGAGCCATCTGCAATGGATTCCACATTGCTAAAAGCAATATAAAGCCTTTTCAAATTCGGTAAAGACGAAAACGAAGCACGTTCAATAGATGGTAAATTGTTTTTAGAGGTAAAAGTACCGCTTAGGTGTAAATTGTTAATTTCTGCTGGTAAAGCAGACGGGAATCTGCTTATTACTGGACGGCAGATAGCAGAAATATTGGAACACTGACATTGTGACGGGCAAGCATTTTCAACGAACACCCAATTCACTACAATTACTGTACATATTATTCCTATAGCAATTTTGTTTTCCATGATTGTTTGTTCAATCCTCTGTTGTACTGAAATTTTTCCTATCGTCTTCTGTTGCTGCCTGAATTCACAGACTGAATCTCTCACTGACGCCTGTCGACCTTAAAATTGACACAAAAGTTTCGTTCTAAAAGTCTGGAGACGAATGCAACGGGTTGTTATAGACCTAATTGATGGGAGTTACTTTTAATTCTGGTAAACCATTAACCATGGTTTTGCTTTTGATATTTCTCATAATACGTCATGTCAAAATTAATGAATTTACATGAACGAAACAGAGGAATGTCGGATTAGACCGCTTTCAGAGTATACCGTAATGAATCAAACCCATGTATATCTTGAATGTCCCAAATATATCATATTGGAATTTAATGTCTTCAGTAACACAAAGGGTTGGATAGAGGAGTTAAGTGAAAGTTACGTTACAGCCAATCAGAATGAGGCATGATTTTAATGGAAGGTCCTTTGAGTGATTACAATACAATCGAGGCCTAATCTAGCAGTTTCTATATAGAATTCTCCCCTAGAAAGAAACGTTTTACTTTCCTATCTTTCATATTCTTGTTTTAATTTACCCCCAAAAGGAGTTGTTGACTTTCATAATTATTCTCCAATAACTTTATATAAAAGTTATGATATGTTGACGTAGAGAGTATATTATTCTGGAAAAAGAATTTGGCAATTACTTTGGCTCGCAGAATGTTCTACCATGGACTTTATGAATCATTGTTACAAGTACTTTGCCGAAAGGTTACCTTAAATTTTTTTAAATGTCTTGGATTATATTTTACATGAAATACATCTAAATATTGAAACAGAAAGGTTATAAATAATATATACAGGGTTTTTCCACATTATCTGCAATCATTTTATTTACAGTTAATTTTTTAATGACTAATCAAAGAAGAACTAAAATTAAGGTATAAATAGTAACGGTAGAATCATCATTTTGTTTTCTACCAGAATAAGGTGGGTCATTATGATGTACTCAGGAAAGGTGATTGTTTGAAAAATGGCGTTCGTAAGTTAGCATCATGAAAAAATTGTAAAATTGTTTTATCACTCAAATTCTCAAGTTTATGCACATGTAAATCCGTTAATGAAGCCAACTTCTACTTTAACATAGATATCAACAGACACGATGCACGATTTTAGAGATCTTTTCATAATATATCTTAAAGAATGAGACAAAAATTTCCCAATTATCTTAAAAGTATCCAGGGTATGGTAAGTCACAAAAAATCTTACATTTCTATTACAATAAAATTTACTGGGAATAATCCTTTAAGGGAAAAATACTTTTTTTAAGCAAAGAAATTTCAGAGTTGTAAAATTTTAAACTTAGTCGTAAGATTTTTCCTGAAAAGGCTTACAGGAAGGTCACACATTTATATGAAGAAAAAAACTCGTTCACAGTGATAAAAGAACAGTTTAGAGAGCCTTAAGTTCATTCGGAATAATTGTTCGGTCCTTTCTTTTTAGCAGATTCAGAAGACAGAGTGAGCACAATAAATTCCTTATTATAAATATCTGAATATGTTTTTAAAAAATCAAGTTTATTTCATGTTTAAAGAAAAAGGACTGGGTTTGAATCTAGTGTGGTTCCAATAATTAAGATGGTGCAATTTCAAAAACAGCACATAATGATATGTTTGCATGAACATTTAAAGGACACTTTGTTTCGTTTCGCAAAAAAGTAACACATTAATCAGATTTGTATCTCCTAGAGTTTTTACTCTGAAGTCATAATTTGAAAGATAGAATTTATAATATATGAGTAATATTAATACATGTATATATCTTCTAACATATCGTTCTTTTGATTTTTTTTCTTTTTTGGATGAATGTTTAGTCAGGAAAACAGAATGTAATGCACACTTGAAGATTTGGTGTAATTATTTATGTCAGATATTATATATATACATCCTATTTTCCCTCAAAATAAATTTTTCCCACTTTTTTTGTATTGATAAAAAATATGCTTAGTTCTTTGTCAACTTCATACCTTTGCTGGGGGGGGGGGGGGGGGGTGGAGTCAAAGGCCACAACAATAAGGAACATTAGTAAATTTTGGACACTCTTAAAACTATTTCTACAAACAAAAGGTAGACGATTAGGCTTACCCGGTACAGTTTTCCAAATAAGAGATATACATACAAATTAGCGAATTAAAATGCAAAATTTTTCAATAAATCTAGCCACGAGTATTCAGTGTCAAAATGGTATTCAGTTTATTTCATATATGTGTCTGAAGTACAAACTAGCTTTCAAACTTCTTATTACAGGCAATAAAATTAAATATTTAAAAAATGAAATTCTGGTATTGCTAAGAGCGTTTAAATTTGTTATTTTGTACATAGAATATCTTTTATTTGGACAACTGTTAAGTCAAACAGTTAAAAAGTAAAATTTTTCCGTAAAATATTTTTTTTGAATTACAAACTGATGTATTTCGATTAAGTTAAAAACTAGAACTCGCAAGCTAGAAATGCTAGATCGTTAGACCAAGGTGAAAATGAATTACATGTATTTTCTCATCAATACATCTAATTTGACTTGTATTTAATCGCAGTATTTTATAAACATATACATTTTTCCCTTGTTAAGCATACCTATAAACCTATAAACGACATGCAAAAAAGTAATAAACTATTACATATCCAAAGATATCCCAGGTGGAGACGAATCTGACAATCCTGTGATAGAGCGGAAGAAAAATAGTGTTTGACGTACATAAATCAGTCACTATGTACAATAACAGGCCCCCTATGTGGCGAAGAGAATGACTAAAATACAAATAAGATATATCTCACTGATATCCAAATAGTTCCCTTGAGTGGCCCTTATACCCCCAAACTAAAGACACGGGAATCGGGAATTGCAGATTAATTGGACAATGGCTATTTGTCGAGGTTATCGTAGAGAGAATGTTTGACGTTTCGTTTCCATAAAGATATCGTTACATTTCAATTAGGAGTAATTTACGGGACACACCGCGACAACACTTATTTTTCAATCGGTTTTGCCGCTAAATGTGGACAACTTTAAACTAATGGCTGACGTGAAAGCTACTTTTTGTGATTTGGATTATCACAAAAACACATAGTTTTCACTCTGCTCAGTCTCTTAGAAATCGTGTGAAACTTCAATTCATGAAAATATAAATGTAGAAATAATTTTGTTTTTATACGGTATAAAGTGTTTATTTTCACTTTTAGATCGTTAAATGGATATTCAAATTTGAACTCTTGCGTTGATAAAATTTTCGTGTAAATATCGAAAGAGCTGTGCAATACAATTGTATTTAAACGTGGTCCAGTTTTGCTCCGACTTACTACTTACTATTGCACTGTTCATTATGAATTTTCTACACTATAAATATAATGCAATATTGATTGTGTCAATACGACAAGAATGTCATGTCTGCACTACAATTGTTCATGTAAGATAAATCCAGGGATCATGGTTGCTTTAAAAATTGATTTTTTTTTATCCAATCTGCTATGTGTTTTTCTAACCCAGAGACTTTGGAGAGAAAAAAGAAAACATGCGAGTTGGATGAAAATCATTTCAGATCATTTACCATAGCAAATTAATTTTATCAAATTTCCTGATTTTGCTGATAATTTTTTTTTGCTCCTGTCCGATGTTTTACGACGCATAAGTAACCCGTGAGGCGCAGTTTAGTAGGCACTTAAAGCGTTTCACAAGTAGTTGATCCTTATGTCGTGGGTTCGAATCCCACTGCGGAAAGTGGAGACCGCTCCTTCGGATGAAACCGTATATGTGTCACAGTAAATGTGGGCTCGAAAAATATCCTTTACTATAGTGCTAATTTGACGAGTACAGGTCTAAAGATTGCCTTGAGTGTTGGGCACTTTGAATTGAAATTTATGGGTCTTTTCGACGAGACCTTTTAAAAGGATGCATGACTGTGCAGTCATTCATCCTTTGTTTTTTTTTCCGACTGGAAGTCATTGTGATTTTTAGAGTTTTGATAATAAATTCACAAAAATGAGATAAACATGCACTTCCTCTCTTCTGTGATTCGTAGAAAATGCATGATGTGAAAATTTTCAATTATTTTATTGGTTGAAATGCTGTGATAGGCAAGGGAGATTATTTTCTGGTAATCTAAATTTCGTACGACTTAACAATTTTTCAAGATTTTCAGTCTTAAAAAATCGACAAAACGAACAAAAGAAAATTGCAGTAAATGAAACTGACACTTTAATTTTTTTATAGCAATTATTATTAAGTTTTTCTAAATTTTCACGATTAATGGAAATGAAAAAACTATACTTGTTTAATATCTATATTTAAAAGATGGAATGACCACTTGTAATAGCGAGCGCAGCGAGCGGCGCGAAGCGCCGCTCGTCACTGCGAGCTCTTAAAGCAACGCCTGGGCGAAGAGAAAATTCGGACTTTACACATTGATCCAAATGAATTTTTTTCCGCAGTTACCTGTGGTCCCATAATGCTTAGCGAATTGCATCTCGCCGCAAACAACGTTCTCGCGGTAGCAACAAAAACTCGACAAAAAATAAAATCACCTTGAAATAATGGATATAAAGCAGATAAATAGTAGATCAAACATTCTTGATTAAAATTAGCACTGTTCAGACTTCGTTTTGGTAATGCAACATACACAATGCACATACGACGTCATATGACGTCAGAGTCTAGACGTAGCAAATGTCACGTGCTGTTTGACTAGCCCGATCTAAATTAAAACTGAAAGGTATCTGCGCTCGCCCTAACGGTTGCACCGTCAACATATTACGCTTTCCGTGAATTTAGGTGAAATTTAATTGACGATCACGCCTTATTGTCGAAAGAAGGAAACATACATTAGAACCTGTTAATCTGACATGCAATAGAAAACATTTTTTGGTCAGAATAGACAGAATATTGAAATACACAGTATAAGAACTTTGAAAATTGTAAAAGTGGGAATAAATATAAAGATCGGATTTTGCAGTGAAATGGATTTTATGTGTCGGATGAGACAGTATTTACTGTATTTTCATACCTGTTTTAATTTATGTAATAACGGTTGTCCTCGTACTTGATAATTGTTTTGTCATGTGACGTATGAGACCACCAACAGGCATTTTGATTAACTGATTTTCTCCCCCCCCCCCCCCCATGTTAAGGTTTAAAAAGAGAGAAACAAAAATATTTGTTAACAAAGTATTTTTCTCCATTAAAATGTATACAAAGTTATGGACCCAATGAAATCTATGTATATTTTATTTTCTGAAAATTTTATTTCTATTGTATTTTCTTCATTTCCTGTTGCTAATTTAAATTTTGAAATTCCATCATTTTTATTTTATTCTCAAACAAAAAGCTTAGTCCGTTTCTTCTAAATCTGCAGTTATATTGCATACAGCATCCATTCCCTTTCCCTTTGGATTCAAAATATTGCAAGATTTGGGGGAGGGTTGGATTGGGGGTGGGTGGGTGATGGATTTATCAGAAAAATGAATATTTTGAACTTATTTTGGAATGAAAGCAACAGCAATTGATATACAGAACTGACACCAAAGTATTGATGTTATATCTTGTATGTTTGTTGTTAATTATTGGGTTTTTTTTCCCATAGATGGAAAAAAAAATCACTTAGCATCTTTACTCCAAATGCCAAACAACCCCATTTAAAATAATGCACTAATGTATTTCTTAAATATTTTCCGAGCAAACTTGCCAGAAAAGAACTTGAACATTATTGAACTTTTCCTTCATTAAGTTTACATCATTCATAAGGGGCAGTTGAGAAAGTGAAAGGCAGGTCTATTGAATTAAATTTAAATCCATCTTTCAGAAGAATTCAGATACCCAAAGAATTGCGTGGTTGACTTTCCATGAGGTGGCATGCTATTATAAATAAGCAGGTCTTTCTTTCGACAATCTGTGAAAAATGAAAATTCAACCTGTTATCATTTTTTTTAACACTTTCGTTGCCATATTTGTTTAAATAATTTGACGTTGCACAATGATGGCGCCATTCTTTCTTGGTTGACTTAAGGATACGAGATAAAGGTCTTATGGAGTTTCTTTTATTTGACTTTTGTTAAATACATGTTCATAAAACTAAATTACGTGTTTTCGAATTCGAGCCAAGCATTTCCACATTGTAGATTTAAGAAAATCCGTGCGCGTAGATTATTTTTTCTTAAATTAGATTAATTGTAGAAATAGTCCTGAAATTTTAATTCTAGACCACATTGATAATGTTTGTTTCTTATATATCGTAAGCTGTTGAATATTCAAAAGAAAAATAATCTAGAAAACAAAAGGTTTTAATTCTTCAAATCACATCAACAACTGATAAACAAACACATTACTGGTACAAAACTGCACGTACCACTCATTTGAGATGTTTCATTTAGTCAATAAATAACGCCAATGATTACCAAAAACAATCTCAAAAATCAACAACTGTAAGACATACATGTAATATCAGTACATGGCCCTGATACATGTAATTATTTGTCAATAAATTTGATGATTAATTGTTCATACAATACAGCTACAATACTAAAAGATGCAAAAAAATATTATGTACATGAAATCGATGACACTTTAACAATTATTACATGTAAATAAATAGATACAAAAATATTCACACCTAGGGATGGTAAAGTCTATATTCTAAATCCTCTTTATCTTTTTTTTAATACATGATGTGGAAAAATGTAGTCATAAAATTTATGTTGATACATCTGTGTTGTGAAATGAACAATAAATGTTAACTGTGTAAATACAAAAACGACTAGCATGTACACGTATTTTGAGCAAATTTGTTTGATGCAATTTGTTAAAAGCAAAATTTTAGAAAATATATAGTAAAACTTAGAAAACTGTCCTGTTTATTTTCGATTATCTTCAAAGACAAATGGTATTCATCATATTATAATCAAACAGCAGACCAAACCATTTAATTTATAATTGATTGAGAAAATTTAATAAAGGACTGGCCATTTGCAATGTCTGTTTTTCCAGACTTTCATAGTTCTGAGAGAGTTTCGATAATGGTAAAGGCATTGTTATTTCGTTCTGCTCTCCGGAAGTCATAACTTGGTTTCCGTCCCACTTTGTTATTCTTGATCGGACCGGAGTAGGCTTGTACCGGAGTGTGCTTACAAAATGCAAAGTACATAATTGCAATACAGATGGACGTTATCAGCAGCGAGCTGCCTCCGACTATAGTTAGAATTATACCTATTCTCTGTAAGTTTCCTTGAGAGTCGCCAGTATTTGTCGTCGGTGAATTATCGGTTGTGGTTGGATTTGTTGCAGTGGTAGTTGTTTTCAAAGTGGTTGTCGTCGTTGGTGGTTGTGTTGTGGTGGTGGTAGGAGTGGTGGTGGTGGTAGTAGTAGGAGTAGTGGTGGTGGTAGTAGAAGTTGTAGTGGTGGTAGTTGGAGTGGTAGTAGTAGTCGTGGTGGTGGTAGTAGTCGTGGTGGTTGTGGTTACAATTTTCACTTCAATATGAACAACCACTTTGATGTCGTTACCGTGCGTGTTTGATATCGTTAAAATCCAGTCTCCTGTATCACTTTCCACAGAAGCAGGAATTATGAGAGTTCCGTCCGGAAGTACTACGTGAGAAGAATTCGTTGAGTTCTTAACAAGCAATTCTTCTCCGTTCGGTTTGGTCCACATTGGGTATGGGCGCGGATCTCCGCCATAAAAGCGACAGTTAACGCGAATGGGGTTTGTTTCATTCACAGTAACAGTTTTCTTGTCACACGTGGCATTGTAAGGAGGGATGCAGGGCATTTCACTGTCTGGAATAATCATCAAATTCCGGTTTTCTAACTTTTTGGGCGCGTTGCAAATTACTGGTTCTTTTAAATTCGTCCATTTTTTCAGGGCATTCATTTCGCAGTTGCAATGCCATGCGTTTCCACCCATATAGAGACTTTTTAAGTGCACCATCTGCTGATAAGTAAAGGATGGAAGGGCAATCAAACGGTTTCCTGTCAAATCTAAGCTGCCTAAAGACGCAAGATTCTTGAAAATATCCGACTCTAGTTCTACAAGTTCGTTTCCATGTAAATCTAAATGAACCAGTTTTTGAGAATAATAAAATAAGTATGGCTGAACGTCGATCAATTTCATTTGTCCAAGAAATAGCTCAAGAAGACTCGGAAAACTATGAAAGGCATTTTCTTCGATGATGCAATTTTCATTTCCTGTTAATTCAAGTTTTGTTAATTTCGATATTCCTCGAAATGTATGTGCACTTACTGACTTTAGTTGGTTATAAGATAGATCCAAAGTTCTTAAATTCGAGAGACTTTCAAAAGCACCATCTTCGATTGACTCAATCCCACAAAACGACAAATACAGGCGTTGTAATAAGGAGTAGCCCGCTAAATCATTCTTTGTAAGGCCAGTGATAGAATTTGTCTGTGTGGCTGTTCCAGACAGATGTAAGACCTTCACGGTGGTCGGAATTCCCCTGGGAATCGATGATAATCCTCCCGAACATTGTACAACTGTATCCCCAAATGTACACCGACATGCAGACGGGCACCCTCCAAGAACGGTTTCCAAGAGAAGAAAACAAGCACAAATAATCGAGACAGTATTCTTCCCCATCACTTGAAATAAAGTGTGAAATGACAACGAATTCAGTCCGGTCCTAGTTTTTTCACAGTGTTAAATATATCGTAAATTAACATCTTATATTTTATTTCGTCGATTTGTATTCCGGTATTGATGTTAAATTGGTATTTTGCCTAATCCCTCCCTTTCTGAAACCGGATTGACCAACAGGCACAAAGTTTAGAAGAATTTTTAGCTTCTTATCGCCGTGTTTGAGAATTAGATTTATGATATAGGACCTCAACTTTTACTAGAGGGGGCGGGGTCTGTAGAGTGAACGTAAAGCACATTTGTAGAATTTTTTGCAATGCGATGACGACTGAATATACACCGAAATTATAGCAAAATGATAAAATCTTAGATCTCTTGAAATAAAAAAATGAATTAAAAAATCATTTAAGCAACAGACATGAATTATAAACTCCAGCTCCATTTACTTAAGAAAACTTCAAAAGTTTGCAATTGAAAATATCAGATCCAGGGTCCGTTGGATTGTAACTTTCTACAATATATATTGTTCGACATAAGCATGTAGTGTAATGATTGTGCAGTAGTTCTATATTCTGGCGGGTGGCTTTGATGGAACCATTTACGGGTAAGTACAAAAGATGATGATAAAACTTATCAGCCTTATTATTCTTGTTCAGCGTACGACAGGAATGTCAATCAAAGGTTTAATCAATCATAGCACTCATTTCAATTTATCGGATTAAACATAAACATACAACGATAACTAGGTGTAGGGAGCATGCTTAATAAATAAACAAACACTTTAAGGGGATAAGAGAGCGCCCTCTGGGTTCTGTACAAGGTATAATGACCCTCGTGTCGTCCGTAAAGATTTCTATACATCATATATTTATAAATAAGACTAAAAGTAACTAGGTCGAAAACAAACAATGAGAAATAAAGTCCTTCACGAAAAATTATGGACATTTGTATGTAAATCTATAAAGTAAAGTTGTTGTTGTTTTTTTTTTTTTCAATTTTACAGACGTTGAGATTTATGTACATTCATTATCCATCATGAACATAAAGAATTGCCATTTTGCAAATTTTTGGTTGTCACTTTTTTTCTCATTTTAATTTTTTTGTCGGTCTTCGAAATATTTTCTGAAATCCTTCAACTCCTTGATTCACTGCGTTATATATCTTGATAAATCTTGTTTGTAAAATGAAATTTAAGGGATTTCATAAAGAGATAACCAAAAGGCATATGTAAGTCTTTTAAAAACCATTTGTAAACTACGTCGAATTCATTGACAATATCGCATAAAAAATTTATGACACTTCGATTTGAAATGGAGACAGTTTTTATCGGTAATGTAATTTGGGTCAGTTAATATTGAAATATCGTCAGTGGTAATATGCCGTGATAGATTGTCGCTTTTTTCCTCATACGGTGGTTGAGAAAATAGATAATCAAATATAAATCAAGGGAGAGAAACAAGAGATTTCGTCAGTTGTAACCTCCCTTTAATCCCTAGGACGTAGGCAGTGGAATTACGTGTAAGGGATATTGGATAATTTTTAGGCTTATTTTGATGATGTATAGTACCCATGCTACGGTCTAGGTCGTAAATAATGAGACAATTTTTATAAACACATAGGATTATGAAAATCCGGAGGAACATCACTAAATAGTATGCCATTCCTCGACTCACTGAGATATTCACTATATGAGGTAATCAGATTTAGGTGCAGGGAGGCGATGCTGTTTACGAAATTGTAATCTAAAAATGAATATGCAAGGACTCAAATGAGCATTTGCAGAAGGAATTTTCAAATATGTAGGTTCTTCATGTCTCTCTCCTGAAAGGAAAATTGTACAAGGATTCTGATATTAGTTTGAAAAAAGCAAACCTTAACTTTAGGCCCGTTAAATTGCTCTCGTAATTACAGATCGGTTATGAATATATCTGATTCTTATTATTTAAATTCTACAAGCTATGTAAAATATAAAATATAGAAGGTTTTCATCATTTATCAATTTTCATGCAGTGTTCTGTTTTAAAATCTCTAAATAGTGGAATGTGGAGTTATCTTCATGTGGAATTTGTGTTACAGATGTCTTTAAAATTTGTTTTAAAACAACAAAGGACTCTGTATTTCAATGGTTACAATATAGAACTTTATTTTGGATTCTGCCTGTTCACTATTATTTGAAGAAAAAAAATGAGATTAAAAATTTGGACAATAGTTCTTTCTGTAAACAAGAAGTAGACACTATTGAGCGTGTTTTCATTGGTTGTAAAAAAAAGTTTCACTCTGTGGACTAACCTCAGTTTTTATATCATACAAAATCAGACTATTTTAAAATATTTAGTAAATATCATCTCCGATTACGGCAATCATAGACAATGTTACAACACCAGACAAGAAAACTCACTACAAGAAATTCAAACTAGAACTCTACTGTACTATCTTCTTTCCCAGTACAATACGTATTTGGAATAAGTTATCTTTGGTGATACAGAAAAATTCCTCGCTTTAATTTCGAGTTTTAAATCATACTTAGATTCTACCCAATTATTTTTTTTTTTTTTTGATGGGAGTAGGCTTGGTCAAGATTTACATACGAAACTCGGACTTGAATGTAGGTTTCTAAATCTACCTATGTTCCATAGAAATGTGCTTTATAAACAAAATTAATTTATTACAATGTGTATCCTCTAATAAAACTTATGTTCAAATAACTGTATCTCACTTCCATTCTTAATGACCGTGTAGTGTAGGGCGACGCCACGAGAATATCCATCGGCATCGAAAGCTAGGGTTTTTTGACTTGCCTAGATGGCCGAGCGGTCTAGCGCGCTGTTCCTGTACTGATAGGAGAGAGATTCTGTAGGCGTAGGTCGAGAGTTCAACCCCGGGTGGGGCGAAAGTGGGTATCCTTATAAAAGTGAATTTCTTTGTGCTTTCTATACATAAATGTATAAACATTTTCTTTCTGTGTATTATATATTAGTTTTCATCTACGCACGTGTACTCTCACTTGTTAATTGTACTTGTAGAAAGAGGGATTAATACATGTACATGTATATACAAAACAGTATATTTTCACGTGTTTAATGCAAGATAAAATTCTAAATTTTGGGGGAATATTATGTCATATTGAATTGGAATATATTTTTGAAAAATGTATAGCTATTGAAAATTTGAAAAGGAGTGGTCCTTGTGGAAAGACATATTACAATCAGCTTAAAACTAGTTGTTGCATTGCTTGTTTTGATTTTATTCATGTGTCTTTACAACAATATAGAGTATAGCAATTGTATACTTAAAGTAGAATATGTTAAGTTGTGATTACATACATATATTATAGATCTTTTTCAACCATTTTGTTGTTATTATTATTATCTATAGAACGAGTCTGTATATTAAACATAATCATTGTTCTGAATTTTAGATCTTTGGGTCCAAATGTTTGTTGTTGTTTTTTTAATCTTATTGTGGCAAGGATTTTCTTTTTAAAGAAATTGCATTGTTATTTACATGTGCACTGTCCTTCGTTATGTGGCTTAGAAAAATAAATTGCGTAACATGCATTAAAAAGTGTTTTGCATTTTGATATAACGAATGCTATGTTAGTAAAAGGACACAAAGAGCACATTCTCCAAAGTGATGAAAAATTATACTTTGATAAAAACTTTTTCCGAAACAAATATTGATATGTTTTTTTTTAATTTTCCAGGTAATGAAAAATGAAGACAAATTGAAAGATATTCAATTTGTCATCATTTACCTGGAAAATTAAAAAAAAAAAAAAGCTATCGTCTGTTGAAATTGTTTGAAAGGTGTGACACCTTCAGTCCATGTATACTCCAATCCCGCGCTGCAAAAGAAATCCGTTAATACTTATGTAAATTTCCGGTGTGACGGGACCCCACAGTTCAGTATAAAATAACTCTTCTTTAGTTTTCCCTCGATTATTAATGGGTTTCCCCTTCAAATATTAAGTCGTGCAAAAGTCACGTATAATTGTTCCCTTAAGCTTTTATAAACATAGACAATCTATTGCATAATGGTAATAACTATATTTCCTTCATCGAATTTGAAATTCCTTTAAAGTCGTCATAGACAGAAAATATTTAGGAATGTGGAGTATATTAGGTGTGTGCTTGGAGGAGTAATGATTGACAAATATTGGAATGTTTTAAAGCTGGTTCGCTTGTGATATAAGAGATAGTGACGTAGAAAAATCCCGACAAAGTACATGTAGTTCCATGATTTAGCAGTTGAATACATATGTGATATAAATTATCATTAATTGTATCCTCCTTTGAAACCCGAATTCGTTTTTTCCTTGCATTTTAATTCACATTAAAAATAAAACATGCAGTTTTACAGAACTAGATAAATAGAATTTTGATAATGTTTGACAACTTTTACGGTGATTTTTAAAAGATTTCTTTGTCTAGATATGTACGACGTTTTGTGTCATATTCGTCCAGAAATAAAAGTTTCTTTTAATGCCAAAGTATGTAAAGTTTCCAAAGTAATAAAAAGCATGAAATAATGAGATACAGGAGTAAAAAGTGAACAAAAGCTCAGAAAACTGACACCCACAAAGTTTCCATTATATTCGTTACATATTATTCATGCTAATGAATCAATAGAATATGACGCAGGGGTTATGATACAAAAACATACAAGTTTTACAATTACTATGCATTGATTCACTAATTTTTTCCCATATGGTTTAAAAATTGTTGAAAAATGAAAGTGAGATGTACTTCCTATTCATCTGAAAATCAGAGTCTATTTCATTCAGATCAAGATTCTTTACAAACATAACAGTTATTTTCCAATTTAATACACAAAGATAAGTGATAGAAATATAAGATTTATTTTGGGAGGTTGCCATTGGTGAGTTCGTTGTGTTTTAACGAGAGGCAGGTAAAAGTACAGATGATTGACTTGTGACACGTCGATTTTTTAATATTTCAAGTGGGGCAAAGTATGTTTAATAGACGTGCACCTCACTTTGGGTGCCTATCGGTTATTTCCCATATTT